GACAGCCTTTTCCAGGGAGGAGTCCTTGAGCTAGGATTCCTGAAGAAGTGGGCGTTTGTCAGTCGAATGGGAGGAAAAGTCTGCATTTCCGGTAGAGGCCTATAGGAAATTGACAAGGAGTGGCAGGTTGTGGCATTGCTGGGTGCTGAGGAAGAGGCAGAGCATCAAGCTGGACAGAGAAGTGGATGGGAAGACAGACCGGCAAAGGCTGCTGTGTTGAGGCATTTATGGGGCTGAGTCATGTCTCTCTCGGCTTACTTCCTGAAGATGCTTTGTGCTGGGATGAGTGCACACGCCTTTAATCTCAGCACTTGGGAGTAGAGGCAGGTGGATTTCTGAGTTTGAGGGCAGTTTGGACTACATGGGGAGTTCCAGACCAGCCAGGACTATACAGAAAGACCCCAGCTCAAAAAACAAAACAACAACAGAAACCCTGACTCTTTGTGCGTCAAAAACCGCGAGACCAGAAATCATTAAGTAAATTAAAATGCTGCTTACAATAGTATGCTATTTTAGTCAGTAAAGCCCTGAGTTTTGTGGGGGAGTGACATTGCAGTCACAGGCTGAGGAAGAAGATGGATAAAATCTCTTTTTCTTCTTCAAATTTTGTTTCCTTGCCTCATCTGGAGCTTGTGACACCCTTTGGAGCCTAGTTCCATCTCTACATCCATGGGAACATATAATAACCTTCCACTCCCTCATTCACACCCCTCCCCAACAACAAGAAGAAGAAGATTATAAATATAATAAATATATAAATGTGGAAATTTCCTGTAATCCCATTTACTATCTCTTAGAGATAACCTCTGTCAACATTTCAGGGCATAACCTTCTAGACTTTTTCCTATGCATATGTATTCATACATTACAAAAATGAGATCGCATCAGGCATCCAGTTTGTTACCCATTTCTTCCACCCAGCCATATAGTGCGAACATCAGCACATATAGATACATATCGTTGTTTTAAGCTATGCGCTGTATTTCATTGTGGGCCGTGACCATACCCTCATTTGCTGAACTAATCCTTTCTCGATGGACAGTTAGTTTTCCAATTGTTTGCCATCATAAGCAGTGATGTGATAAATATTCCTGTACACATATCTCTGCATACTTGAGGGATAAATTTCTAGAAATGGGATCGTTAAATGAAAGATGATATACTCTCTGAAGGCTTTGGATGCAGAGAATAAAGAGTTTTTCCATCACTGAGGTAGGAGAAGGACCATTTACCACTTCTCTGTGGAGTAGCCCTGGATAATAATTGTTCTCTGTGTTTGATAATCTAGCTGGTGAAAAATAAATTACTGTTCTTCTTTTCTGTCTGTGGTTGTCGCTAAGGGTTTTGTCGTATGTCAGTTGTGGCTCCTCCCATTATTTCCTTAAGGAGTTATTTCTTCATTTCCTTAACTTGACTTTTCTTAGGTATCTTACTTCAATACTAAAACTCCGTACATTAGGGCTGGAGACAACTCAGTTGGTTGAGTGCTTGCCTAGCATGCCCAAGGCTCTGGGTTCAAGTTCAACTGCACTGAGCAGGTGGAGGCAAGAGGACCAGCAGTTAAGGGTTACAGAGTGAGTTTGAGGCTAGCTTGTCTCAAACAAAACAAAACAATAGTTTTGGAATATTCTTTTTTGTTTGTTTGTTTTGTTTTTTGTTTTTTTTCCGGACAGGGTTTCTCTGTGTTGTTTTGGTGCCTGTCCTAGATCTCGCTCTGTAGACCAGGCTGTTCTCGAACTCACAGAGATCCAGCTGGCTCTGCCTCCTGAGTGCTGGGATTAAAGGTGTGTACCACCACTGTCCAGCTGGAATATTCTTTTTAATTTTCTATTTGCTATGTCATCGATATGTTTATCAATTTTCTAAGTTTGTTGAGCTTTGTGGCTTAGCCTATCATATTAACTTTTTTTCTTTTTAAGACAGGGTCTCTATGTGTAGCCCTGGCCGTCCTGGAACTCTCTCTGTAGACCAGGCTGGCCTCAGACCCAGAGATTCGCCTGCCTCTGCTTTCTCAGTGCTAGAATTAAAGGCGTGCACCACTACCGCCCGGCAATATTAATGTTTAAACATATTTTATCACCACGTCTTTCCTTCTCTTAGATTTCTGCTCATGTTTGTGGCACGTAGCCACGTTGATGGCTCAGTGGGCTTCTGTAACTATTGGTGATGTCAGCCACCAGCCCCAGGCTACTACACCCAGCTAGCTGCCAGTCCATTCTTACTTGGAAGTTAGATTCACATTTCACATTTGCCGTGACTTCTCCCAATCTTAGTTCCTTCCTCAATGCTTCTGATTCTGCCAAGACAGCTTCACTCAGATGCTAGGGCCCAAACTACAGTTAAATCTATTCCCCACCCCACGCTGTGCTCTCCTTTCCTCACCTCTTGTAACTAACCTATCAGCAATCATGTCATGCTACTTTCAAACTGTATCTAGAAGCTCACCTCCTGACACCTCCCTCCCACCAGTGAACACAGCGTGGATAACATCTGGGACTCTGCAGCAATCTCTGGCTTTCCTTCTTGCCCCTTCAGTCTGTTCTGCATACAGTAACACAGTGGGGTGGAGGGCTTTTTTGCTTGTTTTTGAGACAGGGTCTCACTATTTAGACCTGGCTGGCCTGGAACTCACAGAGATCTGCCTGTCTCTGCTTCCTGAGTGTTGGTATTAAAGGCATATGCTAGGATGCCTTGTCTTACAATGAGCTTTAAACAAACAAACAAACAAACAAACAAGCAAGCAAGCAAGCAAGCAAACAAACAAACAGAAAACAAAAACAAAAACAAAAAGCAACCTCCCAGGGCTGGTGGGATGGCTCAGTGGGTAAAGGTGCTTGCCACTAAACCTGGCAGTCTGTTTCATTTCAGATCCCAGATGGTGGAATGAGAGAATGACCCACAGATTGTGACCTATACACACACACACACACACACACACACACACACACACACACACACACACACACACACACACACACACGGGGGGGGGGGGGAGGGAGCTCCACACTGGGGATTGAATTGAAGGCATTATGGGTACTCATCTTGAGCAAGTGTCCTACCAATGAACTATATGCCAAGCTCTTTTTTTAAAATTTCAGACAAGGTTTAACTAAGTTGCCAAGGCTGACCTTGACCTCATGATCTCAGGCCTGAGTGTCTAGATAGCTAAGATAACAGGCCTGTGACATCAGATCTAGAACATTTATATATTTTTTATTTTATCATTACTTCCTTGAAATGTAAATTCTGTGGAGCTAGGGGCTTTTTTACTTGGTAGGTGGGTATTTAATAAGTAGTTGTTAAATAAATGTACAATGCATGTGGTATAAAGTCTGTGTATAGATGAATCTGCTGCACATGAATAGACACCTATGAAAATGTATGTGGAACTTGGAAAGATGACATTGAATTCTGTGTAGGTAAGATGGCTTCTGTGAATGCTTGGCCAACAATGCCTTTGTATATATGTCTGTGCGGGCTGTCTGTGATTGTATGTGTTTGTATGCATGCTGTGGATGTTTGGCTGTACGTACATATGTCTATTTCAATAAGAATGGGGAGCTGAGATGGCTGGATGTGTTCCCCTAGGAAAAGAACCTGCATTACCTCAGCCTTCCCTTTCTACCTCCTGTATCCAGGCAATAAAAACACCTTTGTAGGCGGGCGGTGGTGGCGCACGCCTTTAATCCCAGCACTCGGGAGGCAGAGCCAGGCGGATCTCTGTGAGTTCGAGGCCAGCCTGGGCTACCAAGTGAGTCCCAGGAAAGGCGCAAAGCTACACAGAGAAACCCTGTCTCGGAAAAAAACAAAACAAAACACCTTTGTGTCTTTGAGTGGCTGAAAACATGGAGTCACTTTCCAAAACGGACATTTCAAGTTGATGCAGGGTGGGTGTTCACAGATAAAGATTGCAATGTGCAGGTGAAGTAGGGCTGATAGGGCCTGGACAGCCTCTTTCTCATACAAGACATCTCACTAGGAGAGATGTGTTCCTTGATGCATCCTTCTTGAAGTAATTGACTGTAAAAGAACACAACCTCAGTGACTTGTAGCAGGGCAGGCCTTGGATTGGCTGTATGCCTTAACACGGCTCTTTTCTTTTCCAAAGCCTGCAAATGGGGTTTGTGGTTCTTGGCTTGCTTGCTTTTTGGAGATTTGTGAGAATAAAGGAGGTAATGGCGGTGAATGAGTAACAGTAAGAGCAATAGTTTTATGTCTGTGAAGCATATTAGGGTTTTAAATTACTCTCTCATCAGAGCAAATGCCTCAGTGGGGAATCCAGCTCTGGACTTTGCTCCAGGGAAATGCAGTGGTGTTGGTTGAATAGATACATGTACGAGTAAGTCAATGCATGTACACATGAGTAAGTGCTGGGGAATTCAATGAAGAGAGGGTTATATAATGCAGCAAATGGACTGGGCAGTCACAAAGACTAACTTGTTTGTTTTCTTTTGAGACAGGATCTCATGTAGTCTGGGCTGGCCTTGAACTAGCTCTGTAGCTGACGATAATCTTGAACTTTGATCTCCCTGTCTTCATGCCCAAGTGGTGTGATTAAAAAAATGGGCCCCATGCTTAGCTAATACGAACACTTTTGAGCACATAGTACCCCAGGCCGTGTCGTAAATGCTTCTTAGTCCTCAGTAACCCCAGGAGGTTAGTCCTACTGTTAGTGCCCTTTTCTGGATACAGAAACTGAGGGTCAGAGAAGTTAGGTGAATTACCCAGAGTCACAAAGCTCTAAAGGGTCAAAGCTGTGATTCCAGCCCAAGCCATCTAACTGTGCGTCCCAGGTCCTGCAGAGTCCTGGATGAGTGAGTGAATGAAAGAGGAGTCGCAGGGGCATTCTGTGGGCAAGGCCGGGCCGCCTTCTCATCTGGTGTAGACGTCCTTGGGATAAAGTTGGCATTGAGGCTCTGGGCTGGGGTTGGGGGTCTCTCCCAAGATGGAATTCAGCAGCCACACCTCATGATTCTTCTCTCTCTTTCCATCTGCAGGCGGATGCCGCCATGCAGCACTACGGGGTGAATGGCTATTCCCTGCACGCCATGAATTCACTCAGCGCCATGTACAACCTGCACCAGCAGGCAGCCCAGCAGGCCCAGCACGCCCCCGACTACCGGCCATCAGTGCACGCGCTTACGCTGGCTGAGCGCCTAGCTGGTAAGAGCCCTGGGGACTTAGCCATGGGACAAGACGCCGGGGAATGAAAAAGGAGGCTATAGAAGGCAGAAAGAGGAGCAGCTTATTCTAGGTCTCTTAGAAAGCCTTAGGTCACTTAGTAACATATGACGGGTCAACATCTGTGCGGTGCTGGCTTTGGCAGCACATTTATACAACATCTGTGCAAGTCCCTGCGGAATGCTGCTTGCTTGCTAGCACTGTGCTGGGGCCTGGAGCTGCCTCAGCCTTCAGTTTCCGATAACAGACCTGCGGAGAAGGTGTTCATTAGCCCTGTCTCATAGGTGCAGAGACTGGAGCAGCAGGTACAGGGCTAGGCCAGGGAACTCCCCCTGGGCAGCAGCTGGAAGACAGCTGGAGTGCCTCGGGAGGAGACTGGGCATGGGGAGATACAAATAATGATGGCTTTCATGGTTTGAATACTGGTCAAATGCCGGGCAGCTGTGTGGATCCCCCCCCCCTTCTCTTTTTCTGTCTCCCTGTCTTCAAACCCCATGAGAAGGTTACTACTTCACTTCATAGACAAAGAAACTGAAGCTCACAGAGACTAAGGGCTAGAGAGGTTGGGGGTCGGAACATGGCCGTATGGCTGAAACTCTGGAGTCAGACTTGTAGTTAGTTGTCTGCCCATTCACCTCTCTTCTCGGAAACCAGGTTTCATTTCAGACAGTGGTAGGGCTTGGCCAGCTGGCAGGCGGTGTGAATTGGTCAGCAAAGCCTGGCTGTGCCTACAGTCACTAGGACTCAATGCCCAAAGCAAGTCCCAAGCATCCAAGAGAAAGTGAGCTAGCTGTAGCCCCGTCCTGATTGCCTCTCTGCTGGTTTCAGTGCCAGCGCTTCCGTGGCTGTGATGAAATATCAGAGAGAAACAATTTAAAAGGAGGAAAGACTTATTTGGGGTCAGTCTTACAAGTCTCTCGGCCATGGTTGACTGGCTCCATTGGCTGTGAGATTGTATCAAGGTATCCTGTCAGAGAGTGCATGGCATAGTAAAGCTGTTTACCTCATGGGAGGCAGAAAGCAGAGAGGAGAAGATGGGTCAAGGATAAGATAAGCCCTTCAAAAACATGTCCTCAGAGGCCCACTTCCTCCACCTTAACCTTGTCTCCTAGCAGTCCATTCAGCCATGAATTCGACAATGGATTAATCCATTGATAAGGTTAGCAATTTCATGATCTGGTCAGTGTTTTGTTTTGTTAATGTTTTTTTCGAGACAGGGTTTCTCTGTGTAGCTTTGCGCCTTTCCTGGAACTTGCTTTGTAGACCAGGCTGGCCTTGAACTCACAGAGATCCAACTGCCTCTGTCTCCCGAGTGCTGGGATTAAAGGCATGCGCCACCAATGCCCGGCCAATTTCATGATCAAATCACCTTTTACTGGTGCCATAGCCAGGGACAAAGTCTTTAACACAGGCCATTTTATATCCAAATAATATCAATGGGTGTGAGAAGGAGTTAACAACATCATGGCAGGCTGGATTTCCTGGGAAATGATGCCACCTAGTTCTTGATGTTCCAGTCCAAGCCCATCCTGGTGCACGTGGGCCGATGTCCATGCCAGGCAGTGGTAAAGGACTTCACAGAACTCCTTGGAAGACCAAGAGCCCACAGATCATGAGAGAGCATGGTGACCAGAGCCACTGGTGGACAGCTCAGGGAAACATGATGGGCTAGTGAGGAGAGGAAAGCTGTTGGCAGGCCGGGAGGCAGACACGTTCTAAAGCTGCTGCCAAGGGGGAGGACTGGCATGAGACAGGGCACAAGAATGGGAGAGGGTCTGAGGACCATGCCTGCCTTGGGTACCAGACTGGCAGGGAGGATATGGCAGCCAGTCCTGAGTCCCTAGTCATCTTTCTTAGATCAGTGCAGACACTAGTGTCCAGTGTGGTAGTGGTCAGTGCAGACCTGCTCCAGCTAGGGTTGCTTCCCTAGTTTGGAGTGAATTCTCTTTGCCCAATGTGACATCTACCTCAAGGACTATAGCACAGAGAGGATTCAGGACAGAGGCTCATGCCCATGGAGAGGAACAGAGGAACTGGGGTATTTAGCCCACTTTCAAATTGTCAAAATTAAGGAGGCAATGAGCCCTACTGGGACATTCTTATGGAAATCTTACCTTCCATGGCAGGTGCTGTGCTAGGGAGCTGGTCTCCCCTAAACTACCCCAGTCCTTGAAGTCCCTGGAGCTAGCGGTAGGATGCTGAGCTGCCGTCTCCCCACCAGAGTGGATATGACTAAGTGGTCCCCATTCCCTCTTCTGCCCGAGAGTAACACCCATGACCCCAGGTCTGCCTGGGCTAGGATTGGGACACGTTATAAAGGTTCCTCCCTTTAACTGAAGAAGTATCCAAAGTCTAGGGTTTGCCATACATGTCCCATTTAGGGTTTTGTAGAAAGCTTCCCAAGCCCTGGGATACAAGAGGATGAGACTGTGGTACCGTTCAGAGGCAAAACCAACTTGGGTCCTTCCAGCATTGACAGGGTCCATTTTTGTGTGATTGGAACTTACAGCCCAGGTGCCAGTCAGGCAGAAGGGGAAAAGACCAGACCCTAGCCTGAGAGAGATACCATCCTGGCTGGGTTTCATGTTACCAAACAAAAAGACAAGCCTGCGGAATCGGTGGTTCACCATCTGCCACTGCCCTCCGAGCTTGCAGTGTGGGGGTTTGTTCTCTTTCCTTGAAGAAGCAGCCAGAGAGGGTCAAGACTGGGTGTAAGAAGCCTTTCCCATGTGCTGAGGGCCTTGCCAGGGCTAAGCTTTTTGCTTAGGAAATGAGACCAGGAATCTCATGTTTTTCCATCAGAGACATATAGACCAAGGAAGAGAATGAGAGGTAGTGGAAAAGACAGAATCAGTATGCCCAGTGAGACTTCCCCTAAACAATCCTTGGGCTCAGCACCAGTTGACAAGCTGACTTCTCATGGCTAAGGGTCAGTATTCTGGTGCTAGGGAATCTTAATAGCCAGAACCCAAGGCCCACAGGGTATCAGAATCATTGAGACACGGTTTTTTAGATCATTTGCATCATGTCATCTTAGAATATTATAGTATCTTGGGGCTTTGTTTTTCTTTTTGAGATATGGTTCTACTGTGTAGTTCAGGCTAGTCTTGAACTTGCAAGCCTTCTTGCCTCAGCCTCCTGAGTGCTAGGATTGCAAGTTTTCATTCTTGGCCTACTATGTTGAGACTCTAAGGATCTTGGAGTATTAACCTATCTACACACCTGATCTGCTATTTAAATCAAGAGGACACCTCCCAACACTCATGTGCCTGACAGCCATGCTTGGGGTTGAATTAGCCCTCTGTAATTCTGAGAGTGGAGGTTGATAGAAGGGAAAGATTTTCAATACCAACCAGTGGAAAGAGGATAGGTGTTTTCCAAGGGCCTGGGGTCAGCTCTGACGGTTATTTGGGTGTCCAAAATGGGTCAGAGCAGGATCAGATTCAAAACTTATTTCCCATAATTAAATGGGCCCCCTCTGTTTGCCCTCCAACGGCTGTACATTTCAAGACATCATCTTGGAGGCCCGCTATGGCTCCCAGCACCGCAAACAGCGTCGTAGTCGCACAGCATTCACAGCCCAGCAGCTTGAGGCCCTGGAGAAGACCTTCCAGAAGACTCATTACCCAGATGTGGTGATGCGCGAGAGGCTGGCCATGTGTACCAATCTGCCTGAGGCCCGTGTGCAGGTAGGGTCCGGCTCTCCCAACTGTACCTTGTAGATGAGTGCTAGCCATCTGTCTGGTGTCCAGTTGTCCAGGAGCTAGCATTTGCTTGGGTGGTGCAGAGATACACACCTACTTCCCTCATGCCTATTTGGAATGGGGAATAGATGGGGTTGAGTACAGTCTTTCCTCCCCTGACTGCTTCTCTCTGTGGCCCACCAGGTCTGGTTCAAGAACCGCAGGGCCAAGTTTCGAAAGAAGCAGCGCAGCCTGCAGAAGGAACACCTCCAGAAGCAGAAGGAGGCCGAGGGTTCCCACGGAGAAGGCAAGATGGAGGCCCCAGCCTCAGACACCCAGCTGGAGGCGGAACAGCCTCCCAGTCTGCCCAGTGGTGACCCCCCTGCTGAGCTTCAATTGAGCCTGTCGGAGCAATCAGCCAGTGAGTCGGCCCCTGAAGATCAGCTGGACCGTGAGGAGGACTCCCGGGCTGGGGCCGAGGAGCCCAAAGCTGAAAAGAGCCCTGGATCTGAGAGCAAGGTGCTGGGCTGCAAGAGGGGCAGCCCCAAGGCAGGTGAGGCTTGGGTGGGAGGTCACCCAGAGGTCAGCCAAGTCCAGCTGATGGGCCTGAGTATGTGATGTGGTCAGAGCAGGATAGTCAACCACTGGCGTTCGGGAGCATGACCAGTTAGGCATGACCGGCTATAGCAGACCTGTGACCCTTGGCCACCCTTGAGTTGCTGAGTCATTGAATGGTCTACAGAGATGGTTCCAGCAGAAGGCTTGGGTGGCAGGGAGGCTCAGGAGGGAGCAGGTGAGGGGCTGACTAGATCCACTTAGCCATTTAGCAATTATTTCAGCTATTCCAATATTTTAACAGCCGGTACAGATGTACCGGTGTGTGCTGGGTGAATACCATACCGGTACTTGGGATTCCCATGTACAGCAGATTTCACCCTGATTCAGACTTCCCTTAGGACTTGGCACACGCTTTTTCTTCTCAGGGGTCTAGTTCACTAGGAGCTCTTATAGAAGAGGCATCTGTTGAGAGGTCTAAAGCAGTGGTTCTCAACCTGTGGGTCACAACCCACTGGAAGGTGGATGGAAGACCCTTTCCCAGGGGTCGCCTAAGATCATTGGAAAATACAGATATTTACTTTATGATTCATAACAGTAGCGAAATTACAGTTATGAAGTAGCAACAAAAGTCATTTTATGGTTGGGGGTCACCACATGAGGGACTGGATTAAAGGGTCACAGTGTTAGGAAGCTTGAGAGCCTCTGGTCTAGATGCTTTTTTAAAGCTAGGGTCTCACTATGTAGCTCCAGCTGACCTGGAACTTCCTGTGTAGACCAGGCTAGCCTTGAACTCACAGAGGTCCACCTGCCTCTACCTCCTGAGCGCTGGGATTAAAGGTGTGCACGATCACTCTAGGCTGGGGATAGTTCTTTTTAGGGCTGGGCATATCCATCCACAAAGCTGCTCTGGGCTGGAGTCCCCATCCGTAGCCATGGTTAAGAAGGAACAGAGCTCTGGCACGAACTCTGTATATTCAGACACAAACCCTAAGCTAGGCGAGGAGGGACTGTAACCTGAGGGATGGAGGGAGGAGATGAGAGTCCTGGATATTCCTTGAAAAGAATAAGGGGCTCCCCGGGAACTCAGGCATGGGTGCCCAGGCAGGAATCCTGGAGCTTCATTAAGTCCCTCCCAACCAAATTCTGAGGGTCACTTCAGAGGATGCCCTGGCTGATACGCGGTGATGATGGTGTCAGCCAAAGACTATCTTCACTGCAGGACCAAGGGAATAGGAAGCCAAGGGACCCTCTCCCTCAAGGCCAATCCCCTTGTTCTGAGTCCTTGGTTCTTGTTCTGTCCTTGCAGATTCCCCAGGCAGCCTGCCCATAACTCCCGCAGCGGCCGGGGGAGGCCTCCTGGGCCCTTCCCATTCCTACTCGTCGTCCCCGCTCAGCCTCTTCCGTCTGCAGGAGCAGTTTCGCCAGCACATGGCAGCCACCAACAACTTGGTGCACTACTCGTCTTTTGAAGTGGGAGGTCCGGCGCCTGCTGCAGCTGCAGCTGCGGCTGCTGCAGTACCCTACCTAGGTGTCAACATGGCCCCACTGAGCTCACTGCACTGCCAGTCGTACTACCAGTCCCTGTCAGCAGCTGCGGCTGCCCACCAGGGTGTGTGGGGGTCCCCATTGCTGCCGGCGCCCCCTACAGGCCTGGCACCTGCCTCAGCTGCCCTGAACAGTAAAACCACGAGCATTGAAAACCTTCGCCTCCGGGCCAAGCAGCACGCAGCCTCCCTGGGACTCGACACACTTCCCAACTGACTGGCTTCCAACCCAGCCATGGTCTTGTGTGTTCCCCCGTCTCAGACCCATGGTTATCCCCAGAAGGCTCTCCAAGAATTAATCTTGAGAGCTCAGGGATGCTGGGGCCTGGAGTCCTCTCACCCCGTGCCCCTTCTTCAGAGTCCCAGCCCCAACCCACACACCCTCTGCATGACCCTGCTTGGACCCCGTGGAGGTCAAATGGGGAGGAGGTGAGCAACTGGCTAGATCCCCTCCTCAGTATTGCCTCCTCCCTCCTGGCCCTCCCCACTAGTAAGCTGATGTGTGGAATGTGAGATATAAATATAAATATATAAAACTATATTTTCAGGCATTGCCTGCCCCCCACCGCCCCATCACATTGCCATTGCTACCCTTGCCTCTGAAATTCTCTCTCTCTCTCTCTCTCTCTCTCTCTCTCTCTCTCTCTCTCTTTCTCTCTCCTTCCCTCCCTCCATCTTTCCCTCTCTCTCTTTCCTCCCTTGATTTCCCCCCCAGTCCCACGGCCTCTGTCTCGATCCTGTCTCCCTGCCTACCTGGCTCTAACCGCTAGGCCATCCCTCCGCCTCTGGTTTCTTCTGTTGGTGTTGGCTGTGTTAGTGTCCTGTATTCTCAAATAGTGTTTTGTTTAGGGGTTGTGGCTTTTGGTTTTAGAAATTTCGTTTCTTCCTGTTTCTCTTCTGCCCTGCCTGCCTCTCTCCCCGCCTAGCCTGAACACTCTCTGGGCGGCTCTTCCACTCTATGCCCCAAGATTCCTACTTGGAGGCCCTGGAGCAACAGGCAGGAGGTAACCCCAGCCCCACAGCGTCTCCCAGATATTAGGAAGGGCTCCAGCCACTTTTTCTTCTCTTACTTCTTGTCTTGGAAGTACCAGCTCCCCACACTGTAGAGCGGCATGTGGCGGCATTGGCCAGGCTTGCAGTAGAACAGATGACATCATTGTAGGGCCCTAGAGGTCCCTGTCAGTGAGTGAAGCACGTGGTCTCAGGATTTGTTGCCTTTCTGTCTCAGAGGCAGTTGTGGGAGAAGAAGTTGTGTCTAGTTATCACTGGCACGGTAAGGGGTGTTCTTGCCCGTCTAGGCAACCCTGCTCTGCAGACTCCCTGTCAGGGTGGTGTGACCTTGGGCAGGCACAGTGTTTCCTGGGATGGTCTTGGATAAGATGACGTAGAAGATTCTGTCCGTTTCCAACCACCCAGCATTCTGTGCCCACAGGTTTGGAGGGCAGGGGCTTTTTTATTTAAATTTAACAATAACGACTCAGCACAGACACTTAGAAAAGCCTGATGTGTAAGTTAGAACATTATTGCTGTTTACTGAGGAACAATGCATCCTGCATACATGAAGCTCTCTGTGGATACTGCCTCAGTTTCTCTGTAAGTGTAATGGATCCTTTCTAGGTTAGATAATCTGGATTTGAGCCTATTTTTCTTGGATTCCAGTGCTAGCCTTGGGGGCTACTCCATTTTCATGCCCATGGTGGGGGTGGGCTTAGATCCCTGGTTATGATTCCCCAGTCCTTTGCCTCGCCACTGAACCCTGAATCCCAGGCTGAGAGGGTGGCCTGGCATGACTGGCCTACAGAGCCAACAGTGCCCACTTTAGCAAGGTCAGTCTGGACTAGGGTAGGAGGAGAAGGCTCCAGCCAGTAAAAAGCGGGGAGGTCAATAAAACCTGAGCTGGGAAAAGGACAAAAGCAAATAGGAGAGGTGAGCATGAGTGGACCGTTGAACAGGAGGGGACCGGCCTCGTGAGAGGTGGGCCAGAAAGGCCTAGAATCTAGCCTCACATCCCACTTCCTGGCAGCAAGCACCAAAGGCAGGCAGTCCAGGGTTTCTGAACAAGGGGTGTCTCCCTGGGATCTGGAATCTTGAAGTTGAGTCCAAAGCCATGGGAACATCAGAGAAGGAGAGACTTGGCCAGGGAGACAGAAGGGGCTCTAGGCTGAGGAGGGTTCCGTGGGCCATGACTAACGGATTGTGGTGAGCTTCAGGAAGTTGTGTTTCTAAAGCATCTCAACTGGACCAGGCACAAGGCTGAAACAGTTTGTCTATTCCTGGGTGCAAATGACTGTCTCTGGGACTTGGTTCGCAACATTTCTAGGCATTCATACCCAGAAGGAGCAAGGCCATCTGGAGTTGTATTCTGTCATGGCAGAAGCCAGGGCTCCCTAGGCTTTTCAAAGCTCTCTCTGATTTGGCTGGTAGTTCTCCCACAGTGCTGACACGAGCCCACAGGCCAGAGAAGAAAGGGAAGACACATGCAGCGTTTATCCTCGAGGATCTCGAGGGAGTTTAAGGTACCAGAGTCAGGTACTTAAAGCAACTGAAAGAGAAGGGGTTGGTGAGATAGCTAACCATGCCTCCTTGTGAAGGTTAGAAGGTACAAGCTTGGGTTGGGCCCACCTGATTCTATTGATGGACTCTCTCCCAGGCCTTCTGGTCACCCAGGGCACAGAACCTGAGGATCGAACCCTTCCAAGCCCCTCTACAAAAGAGTCTTGTACCTTTCTGCTCCTTCCTGTTTGAGGTCTCCTTCGCCTTGCTTCCTCACTTCCCTGAGCATGGTCCAGGGGCCTGGGTCCCCACCTCTAAGCAGAGGCTGATGCGCAATATAGACTGCTTTCCAAACCAGCTATTCTGTGACCATTTGTGCTTAGAGGTTGTACCAGCCCGTGGCAAAAACACCGTGTATTGTATTTATTTATTCTGTTAGTTGAAGAAACAAAACGCAAACCACTCTCTCTCCCTTATCCTGCCCCCCTGCGTAGCACAGCATGATGCTCTGTCCTGTGTATCTGTCTGTCAGTCTTTTGGTCTTACTTCCTGTGACTTTGTGACCTGTTCTTTGTCCTAATTGGCTAATAAAAGAGAACCTGGCAGCATAGCCCTTGACCCATATTCATTCCCAGAGATGCCTACAGTGGGCTGAGTAGGTGGCGTTTCAGAGTCTCACAGTGACTAGAGGGACACGGCGCAGGTTTGCCTTGAGACAGGCGGCTTCTCTGCTGCTCTTGCAACAATCTCCATGACTCTTACTTGCCCATAGCTCGTGCTCATGTGCCACTTTGGGGAAGTCATCGGGAGCAGGGAGTATGGTACAGTTCTATTTTCTCTGGCCTTTTTGGGGTCTCACCCAAGGACAGGTGGCAGGGCAGTCTGGGGCAGGCTACACTTACCGCTGTTTGGAGTAGCCTGGGGGATAGTTCTGCAGGGTGGAGAGACCAGAATAATATGTGAAGCCTCCAGCAAGCCAGAGCCAAAGCTGAATACCAGGAATGCACATTTGAATTTCTAGGCACGGTGGCACACATGTGTCATCCCAGCACTTGATGTATGGAGGCAGGAGGATTCTGAGTTCAAGGCCAGCTATACAGGCTACTTGAGACCTGGTCTAAAAAAAAAATCGGCTTTGGGTCTGGTTAATTTTGGTGTGTGATGTTTTTATTTATTTGCAAGAGTTTTTGTTTTTGATTTTTTTTAAATAATAAAGTTAATAAAATTTAAAAAAGAGCCAGAGCTGCTCTCCAGTGGAACAGGGACGTTTGAGTGGAGTGAGTTCTTTGTCATCAGAGGCAAGCAAGAAACATGCAAGGCATGTAAGAGATGGAGAGGGTATTGCTGCAGTGGTAAGGTTATGTGTATATATATATTGCTGGAAGTCCACGTATAGGAATGAGAACCTGTGTGTCATGAGCTCAAGGGCCTGCTGGCATTTATGTACTTTGGATGAGAAGGAAATAGTGATAGCCAGGGGACAGGATATACAGGTAATAATTGCAGAAAAAGTGCACAATTCAGAAGTTTGTGTTAGGAAATATTGGTTTCTTCTACTTCATTTCAAGACAAAAAAATTCAGGTTATGGTGGTACATGCCTTTAATTCCAGCACTCTGGAGGCAGAGGCAGGAGGATCTCTATGAGTTTGAGGTCAGCCTGGTCTACAGAGTGAGCTCCAGGACATCCAGGACCACAGAGATCCTGTCTCAAAAACAACAAAAGAGAATGAGAGATACCTGCCCTTGGGCCCTCATCGTACTGGCCCTACCTCCCTTCTCTGGGCTCCAGAGTGTCTGCACAGCACCCTTGACCAGGAGGAGTTGTGCTACCTGGAGCTTGGGGCTGGGAGTTGAGAGCTTCCTCTACCAGGTCTTCTTGGTAGAACCCCAGCAGGCCTGAAGAGTATGCAGGCAGGCTATCTACTGGATTTTCCAGGGTGGGTCCTGATCTTTCTACTTCCCAGGTCACTGTGACCCCAGGAGTTGCATTCCTCTCCCAAGTGGGGCTGAGGATTAGGACAGGAAGCATCCCACTTCACTGCCTTGACAGATCAAATGTCACCCCACATCTCCCACAGCTCCTACCAGGGCCTTGAGCCACCCAGTGCTTCTTACATACCTCTGCATTGAGAGACACACCTTCCCTGGCTCAGAGGCTGTCTGGTAACACTGCAGTTCAAATCCCTCATTCACTCTCTCAGCATTGACTGAGCACCTGCTCTATGCCTAGTCCCATGCTGGATACATGAGAAACAAGTATGAAAGAAACTGTGCCCTGACAATCACAGCATGGGGTGATTCAGAGTTCAAAAAACAAGGAACTGTGGACACAGAAAAGAGAGCCCTTATTTTAGCATGGGGGAGGTCAGAAAGGTGCTTTAGGAGAGAGACATAACCTGAGCACCATATGTCATGTGTTTCTTGGGAGTTCAAGAAGAAAGGGTCCTGGGAGAGGCACAGTCCATCCAAGATTCAGGACTGGGTCCTGAGTTCAGAAGAAGCCAGGGTGGGAATGGAGGACAGTGGTGCTGTGCCACTAGATGAAGCCGGAAAGGGAAACTGGAAATATGTGTGGTATGATGCACATTTGTAATCTCAGCACATGGGAGGATGAGGCCAAAGAGGATCCTAAGTTGGAGACTACCCTACGATACATAGTAGGTTCCAGACCAGCCTGGGCTACAGTGAGACCCTGTATCCAAAAAAAAAAAAAAAAAAAACAACAACAACAACAACAAAACAAACACACACATACACACACACACACACACAAACAACAACAAAAAAACAACAGAAAAAAACAAAACAAAACAAAACCAAAAACTAGAAGACAAACAACAAAAGGAAACTGAATTTAGAGTCTAGCCCAGGCTAGAGCCTGAGACTTCAGAAACTGCTAAGTGGAATGATCAGACTTGTATTTTAGCAATTACATGTCCCTCATCGTTTGCATGATGAGTCAGAACAAGGAGCTAGATGGAGTGAGACCAGAGAGGAGGCCACTGCTATGTCCTGATGAGGGACAGTAGCATCAGTCTGGTCTACAAGAGCTGGGAGGCGAAGGGCTGAGGAGTGAGAGATGTGGGAGGTAAAATCACCATGGTGACAGCAGGTTGGGAAGGCCCAAGAGTGCTCCCAGGCCTTTGGCTCAGCTGCAGGGTAGATGAGTGCCCTACTGTACCGGAGATGGATGATTGTTGGCTCTTGTTGGCATGAAGGAGGGGCTTTCCACATGCTTAAGGGAAGATGGTAATGTGGGCTTCCCTGTTGGACTGAACTTGATTCGACATGCTCTTCGTGCAGCCACTTACTCCTGGCACAACTGCGAGGTAGAGTTTATTATCATGCCCATTTGACATTTGGAGAAACCGAGGCACAATGTGATTCCATAGCTTATCCAGGCCCACCAGGCAGCAATACCCACCTGAGGTCGGGACCCAGCTGACATCCATACTCTTAACCTTGGTGGTTGTCGACACAGAGATGGCCATGGGAGCCACGTGACCAAATGAAATGACACAGAGAAGTTTGAGGTCAGGTCCTCCAGGACAGAGTTGGGGCAAGCTCATTACGACTTGCTGTTTACTGTGGGCCCTGCTCCAGCTCTCGGCCTCCCTTGTCTGTTGAATGGGACCGTTAACTGTGTCTAGCCTGCTTCATAGGAGACTCAGATGAGGTAAAGAGTAAGAAGGCATTTGAGGAGACAGAAGCTGAGCAATGGTGTGCCCCACCATAGTGTTAACAGGGAGCGAGTGGGCAAGAGTTTTCCTCGAAGTGGAACCCACAGTCTCCCTTTTTTCCTAAGGCTTGGCCCATGTTCCTTCAGAGTAGGAGTCTGGTTCCTTAGCCCAGGTGGAAGGAACACCTGCTGACAGGGCCTGGGCTGGATCCCTTTAGGGCTGGGGAACCCTTCCCCATCTCTTTCCCACAGAGCTGCCCTGGGCTCGAGCCCCCACCCCTAATCTCTCATTCTCCTTTCGCTTCTGGGAAAGCCGATTAGGAGGCGGCCTCCTGCCCGCCCCCCTGACAAGTTTGTCTGAACTTCCAACAAAGGCTCTCAGAGGGCTGAAGAGGGAAGGCTGGGGCACTGGGAACCTGACACCACTGGCCTGGGATCACCCCAGCGGCCTAGCAGCTTGCACTGTGGCTCTGCCCACCCTGTGGTGTGCAAGAATGTGCCTCCAAGGGGGCCGTGGCCCCACAAAGGCCTGGGGGCTGCGCTGGGGGTGGGGCTCTTCACCTGAGAACCCCTCCTAACGAGGAAGACAGGGGCGGGGGCAGCCAGTACCTAGGCAAGCAGTCAGGGAAGTCATGCATTCTCATACACACTTCCAATTGCACACATACTACACCCCCCCACCCCCTCCCCCATGCACCCATATGCTGACTTCCAAACTGAGCTACAACTTCCTGGGTAACTCTCTGTGTCTCACACTCGTGCATGCATACTCTCCACAAATACCAGACACAGCCTGCTGTCTGCCATCTAGACACTCCCGCCCCCCATACCTGCATTCTTCCTGGTTTACTCCCATCCAGACAGCCCACTGAATGCTCAGAGGTAGCTGTCAGGCCCCCTCTCTAGACAGGCCTCTTGAGCGAGAGGCCTGCTTGGGCCCAACAGTTCCTTGGTGATGGGTGCCCTGTGCTTGTGAAGATGGTGTCCTGGGGCCCATGTGAGGGCCTACACCAGCCCTGTTGCCATTTGTACACCCACAACCACTCCCACACACCCATCCAAGGGGCTTCCGGGAACCCACCCCTTCACACACAGCAGCCTCCCCTCTTGGGGCTGTCTTCATGGCCCCAGTGAGGGGTCACAAAGGACCCTGGGCTCAGGGGCCTCATGACATTCAGATGTGGCTGTCTTTGAATTCCTTATCTATTAATTGGCTTTTAGAGATTTCTCTTGCTTATTGTTTGTGTGTGGAAGAGAATGCACACGTGCCCGGTGTACATGTGGACGTCCGGTGATGAGCTCTCAGGAGTTGCTTGTCTTCTCCCACCTGTTTTTCCTTTTTCTGAAGCAGGGTCTCTTGTTTCCGCTGCTGTGAGTGGAAACATATGAGATCCCCTTGTCTCTGTCTTCCATCTTGTCAAGGAGTGCTGGGATTGCAGACAAGAGCCACCATATCCAGGGATTGAACTCAGGACTCAGGCCATTAGGCTTGTGCGATTTGCCCCGAGGCATCTCCTGCCCCCCCCCTCCCCTTGTTACAGACAAGATCTTACTATTACAGCCTTGGCTGGCCTGGAAATCACCATGTAGACCATCTAGCCTTGAACTTATGGAGCCCCTCCTGCCTCTGCCTCCCAAGTGCTGGGACTAAAGGCGTGTGACAGTGCCCTGCATCTTCATTTTATAATGGCCCCTCGGATTATGTAGTTTTCCCACAGCTTCCTCCTCCATGTCTCCCTCAGCTGACTCACTAGGCTTTTAGGAACCCTTGGCTTCTCTTTGTTACCCAAATTCCTCCATTTCCCCTTCTAGTTGGGCTTCCCTCTCTACTCCCATACCTTACCATACAACTGAGTCTAATGAGATGGGAACCACTAAGGGCCTACTATACAAAGAGTCACTTGGGGCTCAGGGTCCTCATCTGCAAAATGGGGCTAATAATGATGCCAAACACTAGGGGTTTTGCCAAGGTTATTTCATTTCTAGTAGATTGTCTGTAGACCGTTTAAGACACTTCACGGGGGAGAGATGGCTCCGCAGTTCAGAGGCCCGGGGTTTGATTCCCAGCACTAGTGTGATGGCTCACAACTGTCTCTAACTCTGTCTCCAGGAGATGCGAGCCCTTTTCGGTTTCTGCAGGCACCAGAAATGTGTGTGGTGCACAAACAGGAGTGCAGGTGAAACACCCACCCATCAAATAAAATAAAAACGAATTAAAAAGAAGCTGCCAGGTTTCTGGGAATTTGTTTCATGGCCTGTAAAATGGGGAGTTCTCTACTGCCCGGCCTGGCTGGTGAGAACCCAGAGAGCTGATCATGGAAATGAAGGATTAAGCTGCCTGCTGTCACTAATGATTCTAAGCCTCACTTTGGGTTTCCTCCCCCTTCC